GTCTATTCTCTCCTTTTCAGAAGTGCGCCTCTCTGAGGCAGAGTTAAAGCCGGAGCAATAAATAAGGCATATTATGGCCTTTTAACGTGATGAATAATGTAAAACAATAAAAAGTTAATATATAACTACTTTACCCTCATTCTGCCTCATGCCTAAGTGTATTGTAAGTGTATTCTAGGTGTGTACATGTGTGTGTGTGTGTGTGTCGGCTGGCTCTCATGAATGTGTCAGTGCTGGAAATGCCTGTCTGAGTGTTTACTGAAGGAGCAGCTGATGTAGATGTGAGCGTGTTTTTTATGAGAGGACACAGATCCTGGCGTGTTTCACAGACGCTGGCTAACTCTTCTTCTTCTTTTTTTTCTTTTTTTTTTGCTGCTTTCATCCTCGCTCCTGAGATACAGTTAAAGCAACTTCATCTCGGCGCAGAAATGATTTATCAAAAGATAGTAAAAAATAATCCTTGTTGGTACAGAGAAACAAATCATCGTATTTCAGTGCATGCCGCTCGCCAAGGCTGACTTTTCCTCTCCTTTTTCATCCCCACAGTTCCCAATGCAGCAAACCCTGCAGCGCCAGACGCTCCGGAAAACAACGCCATACCAGAGTCAAGTCCGGGTCCCCCCGACCAAGGTCGCAAGGATCCCGTGATGCCTGGAAATTCTGGTGAGAAGAACCACAGACAAAAACCCCACGAAGCACGCCGGGAGTTCACTGAGAGCAAATATTTTACAATGAAAATGATTTTAAAAATGTAGGAAAGACAAAAATTCACAGCCTGAAGAGTTGTGTGAATAATTAATCCCAATTAGCCTGAAAAGAAAAAACACTGAATTATACAGGAAGACACTCCTGTATCTGGGGGTCTTGGTGTTAAAATTATTACTCAGTTCATCTTACAAACGTAGGAACACCGCCCAGGAAATGACCAGAGGTCACTGAGTCACCACCGTCTGACTGTGACGTAGCCGAGGACAGTCATCGACTAAAAACGTACAAAAAATATGCTAAAGATGGTCTGCTGCCCCTACAGGTCAAAGGTGGAACTGCAACGAGTTTGTGAATTTGGTTAATAAACCGATCTTTATATATTTTCATTCATCAATTCCTTTTTACACACATTTAAATATCCGTGTACATACATTAACCTGGGCTGTTATGGACATTTGTCAAATTTGTCTCAAATAATCATGATTAATTGTCATTATTCAACCATCAAACTAATCCACCGTGTTATTAACATAAACAGAATATGTTGAATGAAGTCGACAAACTGAGCTGAATTTAACACCAAAATGTATTCAGTAAACAAAGTAGGGGTGGGGGGGGGGTCACTGCTCAGTACTGCCATCTGTTTAGTGTGTGTTTTTTTGGGGAGGTGAGTGGGGTGGGCGCCCTATGGCCTGACAAGCGTTTAAGACCCTTGACACAGAGTAAACACAGCTGAGTGAAGAAGTCACCTCAGCCTTAATGGATGGACTGGCTCCTCCAGGTTTCCTGTAATAGCTGCTACTTCCCACTGGGGGAACAGCTTCTCTCGCTCGCTCTCTTTTTTTAGATCTCTCCCTACAGTAACTTTCTGACTTACTTCACAACTTTGTATGTCACAAACTTCCTCCCAGTACAGTGTGTACTGCCTGCCTCAGTGTGATAAGCTGTCCCTGTTGAATAATTGCTTATTTGACATTAGCTTCCTTATTTAAAAAAATAAAAAATAAAATAAGGTTCCCTCCCTAATGTCACTGTTCCCTATTCTGGGGGCGTGTTTATCTGCCCACCGTTGTTAGATCAGCGATAATGTAAAATGAGGAAGAGGAGAGTCGGGTATGAAGGACATGTCAGTGTGGTTTCAGGGGCTGATATTCCAGGAATGAGATTTCTGACAGCCTCCTTCTCCAGTGACTCAGAATGTCGGGAAAAAAAAAAATTCCTCCTGTGTCTGATTTCGCAGATAAGGCTGAATTCAGTAGCTTTCAATTATGTCATTTAGTCGTGATAAGACTTCTCAATAAACAGCGGAGTGCACGCCCGACGGCCGAGCGCACAGACGTCAGTCATTAGTGGGGAGGGCAGACTCTGGAGGAATGAGGCTTTTGTCTGTCCATGTGGGT